CATCCATTTCCAGTCCTTCCCTTGTCATCTCGTTGCGCAGATTTTTTTCATTCCACTTTTGTTCTACAAAGGTTTTCCCCCGTAGCTGGCCGTATGCCACAACCTACTTGTGACTCTGAAAGTGACTGCTTTGAAGACTGCCTCATTTGAGGTGATCTCCTTTATTTCAGTAGGCGCAGAGCAGATGTCCAGTGCCAGTTTCTCCAGTTCTGCCACTTCTTTTCTTTTTTTCAAATGTGCTTCCATGCTGGTAACAACATTCAAGCCTGTGAACATTCAGACAATGAATCCATTAATTTCTTGGTGATCAAATCTTTGCATGAGGTTAAAAAAAAAAAAAAGACAAAGAAAAAAAAAAAAAGGAACTTAGTTCTTTTCCATTCTTTCCCTGCTGCTCTTTCACAGTCTAATAGAGCCGTGGTCATCAGGAAGCTTTTCCCAGAAGCAGCCTGTCTCATCATACCTCCCCAGTTCCTAATTATGCTGCTTTTACTTGCTGGAGTCCCTTCCTCTGCCGGTCATCTGCCTGCGGTGGCTGCGCAGCTGGAGCGGGGCAGGCAGGTGAAGCTGCGCAGCAAGGAGGGGAGGGAGTGCAGAGCAGGACAGGCAGCCGGGCAGCGGCACTGCTATGGGACCTAGAGACAAGGAGTGGTGGGCAGTGGCAACAGACTATTGTTAAACCCATTTCATCCGGAGGGAAGCACGCGTGGGCTCTGATCCCGGGTCTGGGGAGCAATCCACGTGTTGGCCATGGGACGTTCATGTTTCAAACAGGAATCACTGTCCCCACCCCTCCTCCCTCCTGCTGCCCTGACGTAGACGCAGCGGCACGTCAATACGACAAAATAGGGCAGGTAAGTCATAAGGAGGGAAAGCCAAAGCCCTGAGCGTGGCCCCTCACCAAAACCTCTGCTCCTGCCTTGGCGAGCAGGTATCTGTGAAGCGAGAAGCTCCATGGGAGCGTGCCTGGTGACACGAGCAAGGTGAGCAGGTCTGTTTGGATACGTCTGCAGTGGTTGCCAAAAGCACCCTCGGGGCCACCCGGGAGAGCAGCTCTGCCTGCTACGGCTATCCACAGCTTCAAAGCATGACAGGAGCTGCCGCTGCAGAGCACACCCTGCCTGCCACAGCCCACCTGCCAGTCCACGTCCCATGAGATGCGTGTGCAGCTGGGCCACCCGCACTCATACGGGCAGGAGCCAGCAAAGAAACAAGGTTATCTTTGGCAGGAATTATTTTTTTGGCCATTCCCAGTGTCTGCATTTTCACCCTTAGGGCAGTAACAGTGGTGAGATGGCCCCACCACTGCACTGTTTTCCCGAGTTTCCTTACTTGCGCTGCTTTTTGGTCCAGGTGAAGGCCAACGTTGATTAAATACGGTCAGAACCACTGCATAAATTGGACGTGGTAGTATTTTCCTCTGTTGTTTTTCTGGAAATGTATGTTGGGCTTGATTTGTGGTTCTTTATAGAGAGAGCCATGTACAGAAGCATACTGGAATCTATTTCCAAGAGCAGGAATCTCATGTTAGGTTTTCCAAAGACATTTTGAAGTTAAGACACGTTGCATGTGGTTTTTGTATTTGGTTGGATTAAGGAATAAAAGGACTCCCCGCATCATATGCATTCCCTATGCAATCATCTTTTTGTATCAGAATCACATATCTTACAGACCGACAGCCGGTGGTGGTGCAATGGTGGCAGGACCCTGAGGGCCAAGCTCCCCTGTGTCCAAGATCCCCTGCTCAGGTGAGCTCAGTTTCTGCAGGTGGTGCTGCGATGGGCTGCCCTCTCATATTCCAGTTGCAAATAGATTAGCAAAGGCTGGTTACAGCCCTGTCTTTAAAAAACGAAGCAGAACAACATTCAAGCCTACCCTTCCCCCTTTCCAAAGAGCGATCTGCAGGGCAGTCATCACACATGGGAGGAAAAGGTTTCTTTACAGCAGGACCTCCATCATTCCCCTTTTTGTCCGTCTTAATGTTTCCAGAGTAAAGAGGTTTCCACAGAAGCTGTTTATTAATTAGAAGTTATGCCAACCTCAGGAAATTTAAGTTTTCTTTGAAGACAGCGAGAGCTTGACCGCTTGCAAAAGACTGGCCCCCATGCCAGTCTTGCCAGCTCGCTTCATTTTAACAAGAGCTATGATACTTCAGAGCCGAGCAGCACTGTCCACGTGAGATCTAGTTCACGTAAGGAAAGGGGTAGGGAAGTTTTGCTTCCCGGGAGCGGGTTAGGCATGGCGTTCACCATCTTCTCATCTGCCAGGAGTCCCAACACACACTTTGGGGGGCCACGGGAAGGGGAGCTCTGGAGAGCGGTTTGCAGGCAGGGTCTGGCTGTGGCTCCCCAGAGGAGTCCCCCGAGTTCCCTGGTCCATCGTAGGAATGGACAGAGCTGGGCTGACCGGAGGGTGCAGCTGGGGCACGGAGCAACCCCGCAAATCAGCAACTCCCTCAGACTCGCCCCCTCCTGAAACGGAGAAATTAAATTACCCTTGGGTCAGCACAGCCCCCCACACGTGACCCTGCTTAGGAGCCACACGGGCATTGCTCCGGAGTCACCAGCAGTTCGGAGAGAGCTGGTGGGCTTATTCAGAGATACAGCGCAAACCCACGTCAACGTGGACCTCTGGCTTCATTCAGCCCAGCAGACAGGCACAGTCCCTGCCCCAAAGTGAATCAATAATGAAAAGTAACGTCAGATGCTCTGCAGGCCTGCTGCTTCTGGTAATTAACGTGGTTTTAAGAGTCGTCTGTCCTCTGCTGCTGTTTGGAGTACCGTGGGAAGCTGTCTGCCTTCCTACAAGAACAAGGAAACATTTCTATCATATATTCTGTTATAGTCAGCTGTGCTAGAAAGCAATGTAAATAACGGGTCCTGGTAAGCCAACTCGTGTTGATGAAGACAAGGACCGCCGACACAAGTCGCTCACACCTAAGCAGGATGAAACGGTGTCAGTTAATTTTTAATACCTTGTTTACCCAAGGAACCGTCAGGTTCACAGAGCAAACAAAATGGAAACGGCTGGAATCTTTCCTTCTCGTGTCTTTTTATACTTCTTTTAATTACGGGTGTTACTTGCGTACAACTTCGAACCGGAGGCATAACTGGTTAGCTGGCGGTGGGATATCCCTTTTGCTGTACAAAATGAATAGTTATCTGCCAAGAAGACCAACTGACAACAGTTATTTACCCATGGGCAAAGGGGCTTGGTTGCAGATTAACCACAAAACGGTGGCAGAAACTAGTTTCTTGAACCCCTAGTAGCCTCATTCTGTATTTTAACTTTATCTTGCAAAGATAAATGTATGAAATACAGCATCCTCTTGCGGCCTAGTTTATTTTGCATCATTTGTGGACTTGCTTCACTGGATTTATTCTGCTTGTATTCTGGTAACTGACAGTGTCAGAGGAATTGTTCTTTGCTTTTCCTCAGAAACTAGAAAGAGAAGAGCACAGAAATCGCCAGACGTCTCTGGCTTTTGGTTCTTCTTGTCTAGAAGACCAGATGATGTCTTACCAGATAAGGTGGTATCCTACATATTCCAGGGATGTACGAAGATTTCTGGAGCAGTCAGCCCACAGACTGGCTATTTTGAAGTTCAGAGCGGCTGCACAACTTTCAGCACGACCGCCCCCTTCCTTCTGCCGCCACGCCTGC